ATTGGCAACAGACACATAGTTTTACTCTTTGATTTATAAATACTTTTTGCTAGACACTGAAAATTCTGAAATACATAATTCATGATCTTAAAGAAGTTATGGGGGAGAGATCACAAAGATGACTAAACACAAAATACAGGAGTAACTTTGCAGGTAAGAGTTTCAATAAAATAAATTCACGTTGCTCTTCATCAGCATTCCCAAGGGAAATGTCTTTGAAAATGCTATACACTTAATAAAAATGAGCTGAGGCAAAATTCCAAAATTAGGAGAAAGTCTTTCTTTTGTAGTGGTTATCATCAACTTCCTAAATGTGAACAAATTAGAAATTAACTAAAAGACTTATTCTGAGCAAAAGTTCCAGAAATATTCATACTCTATTTTTAAAAAGAAGCTAGTTCTTAATTCTTTAGTGTCAATTATTTTCATCTTCACAATAATAAAGTTCCATTTATCACATACCTACTATGTAGCATGATCACTGAAATTACTATGTCTATCACCCACCCATATTCATAATACTATGAAATGGATACTAAAATTCCTATTTTATAGATGAGAAAACTGAAGCTCAAGAAAATTGGGCAAGTTGTTCAAGTGCCAAGAACATTCATTCTCTAACTCATTTTTCCTGAGTTTGATTTAATTTCCAAAGCTCCATATTTGGTAAAATGCCTAATTAAAATAATTAACAATAACACCGCTTACTTTAAATTCTAGCATTTGTGAAAGAAGAATGAACAAACATGTAAATACCACCTACTATGGTATTCCTTCTACAGCCACCCCACATGACATAAGTGTTTCTTTTCTGAGTGATGTTCTGGCCATTCACCCCTTAATGCTTAGCCACAGCTTAACCCAGTCTGTTTAGCATATACAGTTTTTAACTTTACATTTACCACGTATGGTATAGAGTATACTTATTGTATATTGGCATACAGAAGATTCTGATAAGTATTTGTTGAATTATTTATAGCAACCAATTTAATATAGAAAACAAATAATACTGGCACACTTTTCTAGTGTATGCAGTATATGATATCAGGATATAATTAGCAGACTGCTACTCTGTTCACTAGTGACATTAAATGTAAATGAATAATCTTCTCAAAGATAAAGACTGTTTTATGCTTATTTTATATTCCAGAATCATTAACAATAGGCATATCAAACATGCTCACAAAATACCTGCTGGTGATCTATAATTAGAGAAATATTCCATTTTTTTCAAGTCTATTGAGGGGCTAGAGAGATGGTTCGGTGGTAAAGAGTACTTCCCGTTCTTGTAGAGGGATCATGGTTAAGTGCCCAGCACCCACTTGGCAGCTCACAACCATCTGTAACTCCAGTTCCCTTCAGTCCTCCATGGGTACTACATGCCGGCAAAACACCCATATACAAAAAATAAATAAAAATAAATCTAAACAAGAAAACCTTGCCACTATGAAGATGTTTTAGACTAAATGGTTTAGATTTTCTTAGGTTTCCAAGACAAGAAAACAGGCACTGTGAGTGCTAGAAGTTAGAAGGGAGCATCTGAACCTTTTTCTAAAAGGAAACGAGTTAAGGAAAATCAATTCTCTAAAGTTGAAATTTTTTAAAGAAAAAATATGGAAATAGAAAACTCAAGTTGCATACAAATTTTTAGATATCACCCAAAGTAACCCTCTCCACACACACATACTTTAAAGAAGTACAGCAATATTATAAGTTGAATCAACTTCTAAATTTGTAGCTGGATCAAGTCCTGTGATGGGATGACTATATTGCAAATATTAAGCAAGAGTTTACCACTGTGCCATTGGAGGACCTAAGTTTAAAATATTTGAATATGTGTACTTTACAAATAAACTGAAAACTGAAGCAAAATCTTGAAACTCTATCTCTGATGAGCTAAGATCAAGAGCTCACTGGTAATTCCTATGAGTTTGTTCTCCATTTATATTACAAAGGCAATTGCAATGATTTTTGCTTGTATCATTTAAAAACATTTCTATAAAATACACTGAGTGATAAGGATTTTTTTAATCACAGTACATTTTATTATTTATGGTGGTCTTACTTTTTGGTCCTAGGTATGTCACAAAAGTTGGAGAGAACAAGTTTGTTTAACATAAAATTAATAGATACACTACATGGAAAAATATCAACACTACATAGTATACCTACTACAAATCATATGAATCACTAGTTGGAATTTAGAGAAAATGTGTAACTCTTGCCCTTGATTTAGGCTAAAGGAAGGTAAAGAGAGTGAAACCTAGTCACACTAACTTAAGAAAAGGCTGTGCAACGACCTGTGATATTCACTTTCCATTCCTGAGTTACTCTTGTTACAGAATGTATAATATTAAAGAAAGGGCAAATAAAAAAAGTTTAATGCCTATAATTTTATAGAGTGACATTTCTTTTTTAACCAGTAATAGTAATAGTGCCTAGTGCTACGATAACTGCACTGTAAAAAGTTCAAATGGTTATTACTATAATACCTGGAATACAGCACTTATCCAATAAAAATATACTCGTCATCCTAAAAGAAAACTAAACTTATAGTGAATGATTTGAGATGATAGAATTCATGCCTGCCTAACTGCTTTTAAAAAGAGGTACTATAGAATTTACAAAAATGAAAGTATGAAATATACAGGATAAAGGTTTAAAGAATAAGAACAGAGACCCAACTTTAGTCGTTTACATATCGACTGTCAGGCTTGGAGATTTAGCTCAGTGGTAGAGTGCTTGCCTAGCAAGCTCAAGGCCCTGGGTTCGGTCCTCAGCTCCGGAAAAATAAAAAAGACAAAATATCAAAAAAGACCAAAAAAAACCCAAGGCAACTACATATAGACTATCATTTTAACTCTTGATCTAATCATTGCTTTGCTAAATATTTTGACAGTTTTGATAAATCACATACAAGAAGGGAAAGTACAATACAATGCCTCACTTTTATAAATTTATATTGCTTCATGATTTAACTAAAACACTCTCAATCATAGATTTACTAGCACTTAATTTCATTTATTGTGTTGAAAGGCCTTGACACTAAAAGAATAATAAATTCCAATCAAACTCAGACACTATGCCGAAGAAATTATATACTGACAAAGAACTGGTTATTTCAAGTGACATAATTATATGAATTTATATGTTGACTATAACAGTCAGTAAGAATCATCAGTGGTATATTAATTATATAAAAAATATCCAAGAATATTTTTGTGATGTATAGTTAGATAGTCTAACATAAAATTAATAGAACATATAATTTCATAAACTCTTAGATATTTTTAAGATTACATTTAGCTTTGTCAAATCACATGGTACAGGTATATTTTCAAAAGATATTTTTCATTTCTTAATATGAATTACAACTAACTAGAACTAATGGAAATTCAATACTATACAATACTTGAAAGCAAGTTTTGAAACTAAAACTGTCATTTAAAATTATGCTTGAAATAAGTCCTACTTACTGCTTGCAAATTATTATGGTGGGAGCTTTATAACTGAATTTAATGAAATATTATTTACCGAATAATAAGTATTATGTAACTAAATTATTTATGTGACTAAAAAGGAACCTTAAACATCAGAGAATTATACTGTACTTTGAATCACAAAACTAGTAAACATGGATTTTCAATTCTTCCATCTATATTAAATAACAATGCACTTAGTAAAAGAGAAGGTAAACAAACTGAAATACAGAAATACAGCAAGCATCAGAAGTTATCTTAAATGTCTAGTATTTCTGTTTCTATTATTATTGTTTTTGTGGATAGTTCCTGACTCTGAAAAGCTACATTATTATCTCATAGGATCATATTTTAAAGAAGACTTCAACTTTTATACATCATAATAATATGATATCAAAAAACATTCAACTTCAAATTTATAACACAAAGAATCAATGTTTTAACAACTACATTTAGTTTGCTTGAGCTGGTGAGCAGATGTAAACATAATCTACATGACTATCAAACTCTAGGTCTGATAGATATCAAGCTAATATTTATTTCTAAGTGCTTTAAAAATTATTTGTAAAACCTGCATAAAAAGGATTCCATAAGTGTATTGTGATTTTATTTTAACAATTATTCTACACTACAATGAAAGTACATGCTCAAACAAGACACCTCAGCAGTATTTTAAAGCAGTAACCACCTAGCCAATTTCTGTATGTTCTGTAGTTTTTCTAATCCACTCTCCCTGTGGTTGAGCAAAATCGAATTGCCTCTCACATTTGCAGACAGCTCTGTGAAGGTGATAATAGAGCTGCTCCCTGCTGTCATGAGGCAGGAAATAGGAAAATGGCATATGGGGCTAGAAAGAAAGAAATAAAGGGGGGGGGGGAGATCCGACGAAAGAAGGAACAAAAAAAAAGAGACAGAACTAAACAAGAACAAAAGAGATTTCAACAAAGAACAACTATAACCCAATATGCTTTGCAAGTTAATCTCTTTTCAGAATCATTTAGCATATTTAATCATTCATCTGAGTCCTCACTCTAAATATGTGAATGGTTGATACCAAGTCTTTGGGGCAAGTTTTCATTGTCTAAAATATTTGGAACATAGAACTCCAGAATATGTACTGAATAATGCCTGCAAAACAGAGCCCTTTAAATAAACATTTTTTAAGTGTTATGCTGATTTTAAACTTACCAATTAAAAATAAAGGCAGGCAAAGTAATGCTTATTAAATGTACACAGTAGGGTTTTAGTATAGTTTAACATTCAAATTTATGAAATTTAAAACAATTTGAAGAGATAAACATTTATGACAATAGTAAACCTAAAAAAAAAAATTCCTACATAATTTGTTAAAATGCTAATACCAAGACACAGTCATGGACTTGTATACTTTTAATAGAAAGAGTGTGTGCATGCGTGTGTGTGTGTGTGTGTGTGTATAGTACTGTTCAAAATGGATTTTATTCCATGGTTGTATAAAAAAAGTGGCAGTACATGGCAAAAAAAAGTTAGAATTGACTCTACCTTTCCTTTTACACTCTGAATGGGATCCACAACCACTGCCACTGCTCTCTCCGACAAGGCTTCAAAGCTCTGCTGAGTGTTGATATCCACACCAGAAAGCCAACAACCAAAGCCAGGGTGACTGTGATACCAACCAACAACCATCTCCGGCCTGAAACAAAGAGGGCATTCAGATGCTCAGAACAGAACAAGTAATACATTTATGATATGAGAAGAAACAACACACTAACAGGGTATAAATTAAGAAGAGATGAAAAACACACAGGTGTGAAAAAGTACCATTAGAAACTCTGAAATCGGACACCATATTATCTAGAAAACATGGAAATGAATAAGTGTGACAAAGGAGTGCTATCATTAAGAGAGGCACATTAGCAGTGGTAGATAAGGCTTTCAGTTTTTCACCTTGTTACCACACTTTCTCAGAGCCAGTTTTTACCCTTTCGGCATTCAAGTAAATATCTACTCTTTAACTCCTTAGCTCTGGGAGTTGGATTTTCCAGGCACAGAGTACATTTTTAACAATGGACACCAGGATCCACTGTTGTGAAAGGATTAAATATCAATTAAACCAGCAGTAGAACTAGGAACTCAGTCAAAAACCAATTTGCACTGTTCTGCTCAGCTGCTGAGCCTTTTGCTAACATTAATTTTGAAGTTTTTTCCACAGTAGAAGAATCTGAGCAAAAGAATGACAACTATTGAGAGATTTAGTCTGAGGGAAAAAACCTACAAGAATATTTGGATTCTACTGTCTTTAAAACTCATGTCCAGAAATACTAAATAGTCAGAATCTCATTCAGTTGCAATTCTGAAATACATAAACTGTTACAAGGTCTTCCAACTATTAAGTAACTAAAGAGTAACTACAAATGCTGAACAGAGGGAAGTTACAGCCCAAGCATACTGCTTGAGAGTTGAGAATTTAACACAAGGCAGTTTTCTGATTGGTAAGCTTCCTTCATTCAAAAGGTCAATAGGCACCACAGAGGCAACCCCTAACACTATAAAGGACAGATATTTTTATGTCAGACTCCCATCTTCACCCTCAAAATACTAATCATAAACTTCCATAATTTCAAAATACATTTCTAAAATTATTTCTCATTAAAAAAATGTTTATGTAAAATATCTACCTTCCTGTTTGCTTCAGCATATCCAACATTTTGGCTTGGAACACTGGATCAACTGCTTCTACACTGACACCCTAGATTAGAAAGAAAAAGTACTTTTTAAAAAAATATATACTATAAGTAAACAAAAAACTAACAACTAAATACCTACGTGTATTACTTTGGGATACTAAAACAATTATACAAGTTTTGATACTCATATTTCGTACCTACTCAAATCATTCAACCAACAAAATTTCTAAAATTGACAAATACCAAACTGCTGGTAGCTAATGATCAGAGATATATTCAGAATGTTAAGATCATATGGCTATTGCTATGCATATTACTTATCAGAAGTACCAAACAACTGAGCAACTATGATTTTTAGTTAGACCTGCCTGAGCCAAGAATATTTCCTAATGTCATCCTCACAGCTGATAAGGATTATAATTGTTCAATTATTGTAGATGAACATTTTTTCCAATAATGTAAACACTTTGAAGAAGGGTAACATAATAGCCTTATATAGAAGTAATTACAGAAAACTTACTGGACGTAGAACACTAATCAAGTCTCTTAAATGTTGCATTATTTTGCTAGTTCAGTCAAAATTTACAGGATTCACACTCTCAGGTGCTAGACCACTGTCACTGTGGTTCCTACAAGGCTTTCTTCTAAGAATCTAACTCTAATCCAGTTAAACAAAGCAGTTTAACATAAGCACTTTCTTCCTACCAAAGCAAGTAACAGTGGATTCCAATACAGAGGTCATCCTTTAAGAACAAGAGCATGCAGGCTGCTGCTGGGCTAAGAATGTATTGTGGGAGTTTTGTTTGGTTTTTAATATTTTGAGGAGAAGCTAGAGAGGGAATGAAGAGAGGAGGGGAGAAGAAGTCAGGGTTAGAATCAGGAAAGAGAAAGGGAGAAGGGAGAAAGTAAAAGGGGAGGACTGCACAGACGTGTCTTCACAGAAAAGTTTGTTGACTCTTGGGTCAGAAGAAAGCATTTCTAAGTCTTGTACATAGAGTAAATGTAAGGATCAAAATACTCTATTCTATGCTGTCAAACAAGCATTTACATGGAAATAATGATAATAATGCATAAGAAACCATTTATTATCATGAGTATCTACATAGAGACCACCTCTAACAGAATTCAGTTAACTTTATTATGCATTCTTAGAGAAAAAGATAACAGCAACTTAAGATTTAAATATAAATATAAATCTGTAGTTAATATGGTGTTTTATATCCACATGAACAAAAAATATATATCCAGAAAGACAAAGACAGATCCAAATTAATTTCTCTCATCTAGAGAAAACATTGTATATTTTCCTATTGTTTTTTATTGTTTACTGTAGCAACTATTCTATAAAGACTCTTTTTCATACATGTGTGTATATATATGTACGGTACCACTTAAATATGTATAATTTGTTTTCTCCTATGTACCTTATCAAAGCAAACTGATAGCAAGGATTCTCAGAGTAAATGGCTTCATGACAAATCTTTTAAGCCAGATATAGTATAAGGCTCATAAGTCTTTAGGAGAATAGTGTTACATGGTAGAGGAAAAAAAAAAATTCACCAAAAAATCTATATAATGCAAACAGACTATACTTGTCATTTTTGGAAAATAGATAACTGCTACTGACAACTCTGTTTTTCTTTTTGTTGTTGTTGTTGTTGTTGTTGTTTTGTCTTATTGTCTCTCAAAATGGCCTTGAATTCCTGATCCTCCTGCCCCAACTCCCTAGTGCTAGGATTATAGGCATAAGTTATTGTACTGGCTTTTATTATGTTTTTTCACTATGTTCTTTTAATCTAGCAGGGCATGGTAGTGCACACCTTTAATCCCAGTACTGAGGAGACAGAGGCAGCTGGACCTCTGTGAATTTCGGGCCAGCCGGGGCTACCAAAAAGATAACCAATATCTATACAAGTCCACTGCATTAAATAAACAAAAAGAAATACAATGCAAAACAAGATCAACTTTAGAAAGAATACATTTAAAAAGGTATAGTAGATAACTTTCAAAATCTAAATAGAGTATGATTCATATAAACACATTAACATGTCTGGGGAAAAGAAATTAAGATTTTCTATAGTTTGTTTTTTAATACTTAACATTATTAATTGGCAAAAGCTTAAAAGTTACACATCACCATAAACAGCACATTAAAAAAGAATAGATTTCAAAACAATGGAAACATTACAAGATGACTAGTTTATTTACACACATTCAAATCTTAGTCTCTAAAAGCTTGTGGCCAAATGTTTAATCAATTTAATATCTTGCTTTTATGGCTAACTTTTAAATCAAGCATGTTCCACTAACTAAAGCTAAAGGAAAAGATTAAGGGATTTAGTGTCAACATTACTTGTTTTGTAGACTTAAAAGAATTCATGGTGCATTTAAAAGACTAATGATTTAATCCAATACAAGCTAGAAAATCATACTCTTAATCTTATGATTATTGTTTCCTATTGCAAAGAGAAAGCATAAAGTGATGAAGTCATTTTGTATAAGAAAACTCCCATAACTTGCAGCCAACATAAAACTAAGTACTCACTGTTCCTGACTGTGGCATAGCAAACACATCAATCACTCTGACCGTGTAATCATCAACAAACTCGCCAAGCATCAGACCCATAACTTCCATTGGAACCCCAGCTCGGCCATGTTTTAACATCTGTAAAGAGGAAGATACGTGAACACAAAGTACATTTCTTTAAAATCTTTGCCTCCTGACCTGAAAAAAAAAAACAAAAACTTCTTTTGCTTCTGTGGGAATAGAAGCTTATTTTATACATGTGCTCCAAATAAAATTCTGCCTGAGGGAATTAAGGTGATAAATATGCCAAAGTAAAAGTGAATGTAAAGGAATCTCTAAAGCAAGTAACTTCATTCCTTACTTACCTTTAGCAATGCCAGTGAAGAGATATAGACTTGTTCTGCTGTGTCCACTGCAGGAGCATCGGTAGGTGGACCCTAGAAAGAAGTATACCGATTACTATGACACAGAGAATATGAGTTAGAATTAAAGTTACATTTTTACATAAACTTGATTATTTTTAAAAGTTTTAGAATGATGTCAAGTATCTTTTTATCCAATTACAACACAAATAATCATGAAGATATTTGCAAATATCAAACCTAAACAGAAAGTACACTGGCAACTTTCCAATGAGTACAAAGTTTAACTCCTTCCACCGTGCTCACCTACCTTGGCTAATCACTGCCAATTACATTTCTTGCCACAGTGTGAACATACTGTGAATGCAAAATGCTACTGGACTAGCACGATTAACTGAAGGATCAACACAAACAGCAAATCTTCTGAGCTTCAGTTTTAGCTACAGACAACATGTAGATTAGGGATAAAGAATCACTCTGCAGATTCATAGATATAGGAGAGGGAAGGCAGAAGAAGAGTTCTAATCCCTAGGTGAGAGAGCTGTGAACGACATACTCTGCACTTTGCCTAATGAAGTTGTTCCCCTCCCCATATGCAACAAATTTAGCAAAATTGCAGCAGGTGTGAACAAACTGGATATGATGTGGGTGTGGGTGGCATGAAAATACTTCCAAAATCCTGACCACTACCTTTAATCTTATTACAGGCTAATAAAGCTACTGTTTGTCCCAAAAGACCCTGTTTTATTCATAAAATGAAACAAATCTGTACCATTCAGCTATACAAAGCAACTTATACCCCACACCCTCACAGTAATTTTACTCCAGTTAGTACGCATCTTAAAGAAAAGAAAAAAACAAACAAAAAAGCTTTTCTTCTTCATCTTTTTTTTTCTTTTAAATAATGGGCAGCCTGGAAAATTATATTGAAATGAATTTATAACTGCTATGACCCATGTTATTTAAACTTCTTTGCCTGGCAAAAACATTATTCTGTATAAAATGTGTTGGCCATTTATTCTCTTGCTTTTATGCTTTTAATTGTTGAAATGAAATAACTGCTTTACTCAATAACTCTATTTATTAACAGGTCTGCAGGCATTTCTATTTATACACTCATTCTGTTACATTGGGGGGGGTTAAAATCTCATATTTATAGGAAGCATTAAGTATAGAAGGTTCAAATTCTTCATTTATCATCATTGAGAATCCTTTAAGAATGAAAACTGTGGTAAGCTCAAGTACTATCAGGCTGAAACATGTGCTGAAATTATCAACATTTTAATGATATAATTTCATTCACTGAGTTACAAAACTTAAGAAAGAGTTGTGGACCAGATCAAGTTAGATGTAATGAGATGTTTGAGGATGTTATACTTTAAGGTTAGGCTGATAAACACTATAGTCATAAAATTATTTCTTGGGTATACAGCTTTTAAAATTGCACATCTCACCTGTAGATATTAGCTCAGTCATTCTCAATTTGCCTGAAATGTTTTTTTTTAAAAAAAAGAAAAAGAAATCATACTGTCAGCAAATACACTATTGATAGAGCTAATGAAAGAGAAATGGAAATGTTTCACAAGTTATTTGTGAGAGAGGTGCAAACCACACACAAGAAGAGATCTTAGCTCCTCTCTTAAAATCTATTTTCTTAGAGTTCAGAAATATATTGACAGAAAGTCCTGTACTAGGAGAAAACCACACCACCATTTCTTTATTGTGGTGGTCTGAATAAGAAATGTCCCTATAGGCTCAAGTATTCTAGTTGGTGATGGTGTTTGGAGAGGTCATGCAGTCTTTAGGATGACATTTCCTCAGTGGAGGAAGTATATCACTGGGACAGGCTTTGAGAGTTCACAGCCTCATACACTTCCCCATTCACTTTCTGTTCCCTGTTTCTGATTGAAGATGTGAGCTCTCAGCTTCTTGTGCCTGCTGCCGTGCCTTGATGGCCATGTCTCCCCACCATGATGCACTCTTACCCCTCTGAAACCAGACAATAGGTGAAAATAAACTTCTGTAAGCTGCCTCTGCTCATGGTATTTATCACAGCAACAGAAAAGTAACACACATTTACTATATAAGTATTGTCTGTGGGACAGCAGTCAGTGGGATTGTTTTACTCTCTCCTTCCCCAACTTCTCTCCCATTCCCACTCCCACAACCCACCAACACCCCACACCCACCAGGCTGGCTTCAAACCATTCAGCCTCCTTCCTGTCTCAGCCTCCTGACTGCTCAGGCATGAACCACCTATTCTGTCCCTTGATCTAGTTAGTCAGAGACTTAATTTCCTAGACAAAATAACTTGGCAAGAAGTAAAGAAGGGTTAAAGGTTGGTAGTAGTTAAATGTATAGGGAAAAAAAGAGACGGAAGAGAACTATGGGAGAAATATGAGGTCCTTGAGAGCTGTGTTTATCTACAGAGGCTATAATATTTCTACATACTGACCTATACAGAATAAAACTCAACTAGGCAGTGTAGAAGACAACGCCACTAAAGACCCTGGAAATTGATTTGAGAGATGTAAGAACTCAAGCAGCTAAAGAATAAAGATGGGGGCTGGAAAGATAGCTCAGTTGTTAAGAATACTGGTTGTTCTTGCAGAGGATCAGGGTTCAATTCCTAGCACCCACATGATGGCTAACAGTTATCTGTAACTCCAGTTCCGGGGAATCTGATGCTCTCTTCTGGTTTCTGTGGGCATTGTAGACATGAGTGCATTTAAAATTTTTAAAATTTAAAATAAAGACACATACACATAAAATTTTTAAAAGTTAAAATAAAGATGACCTGATTAGTCCCCAAGATGCAAAAAATGTGGGGTTATAGACAATTTACAACTATTGTTTTTTGGTAAATATTCCTGTGGTCCAGCATACTGATAATTCAAATAAAGCAAACTCATTAAAATTGGAATCACAAACAGAATTTTAGAAAAACCACTTGGTGTCAGTAGAATATAAGGAAGTTTCTTTTCTTTGTAAAGTTGGAGGAAAGACAAGATAAAAAATATAAGTTACACTAGGAATAATAAGGGAAAATAACATTAAGTTTCATACAGTGATACAGAATATAAAATTTTCTCTTACAAAGAGAGGGGAAATAGAGCTAAGTGATGAATTTTACTATATCAGAAATATGAAATCAAAAGATTTTTTAACAACTTTAAAACTTTAAAGTAATTGCTTAAAATATCACAATGTACATCTTACCAAGTAACTGAAGAAAAGAAAGTAAAAACAACACTGACAGTTAAACAATGGTAGAACCTAGGTATGATGGTACAACCCCAGGCACACTGGTGGATGCAAATTCAAGGCCAGCCTAGGCATCATGGTAAGACCCAGGTTGCTTCTTTTTTTAATTTTTAATTTTTTAAAAGAAAATAAGTTTATTAAGCTCACTGCAAGAGTCAGTGGACTGAGGGGCAGTAACAAGAATCCCACCTGTGGTCACCCAGTCGTCTGTCTTTTTTTTAATTATGTGTGTGTTGTGGGTGTCTGAATGGGGGTATGTGGAAGTGGGTGTAGATACTCTTGGAGTGCAGAAGAGAAAATCAGAACACCTGGGGCTGGGGTTACAGGTAGTTGTTGAGTTGTACTATGTGGGTTGCAATAGCAGTACGAATTCTAACCTGCTGAGCCATCTCTACAGTCCTGAGTCATAAGTCTTAAAAAATAAAAAACAAGCAGAAAACCTAAAAAGGAGAAAAATCAAAATACTAAGTGATAAAAGGCAAGACCAAATAAATTATTTATAATTAACAGATAAAGCTCTTTGTTAAAAGATAAAAGTATCTCAAAGAGGGTTTAAAGGGAATATTCATATATACATGACCAAAAAAAAAGACAAAACAAAAAAAGACCAAGTAAAAGTCAACAAAACATTGACTTAATTGAATACTTGAGACCAGAAGTACTTCAAATTTCAGAAGTTTTCAAATTTGGGGTTATTTGCACAGTCTTAAACAGTTGAGCATCCATAACCTCCAAAATCTAAAATAATCCAAATCTGAAATTTTTCAAACGCTTGACTATTTTTCACTCCAAAACATTTTGGATATTAGATCTAGGATGTACAACTCAGATCTGCATGTCTTTTGTAAAAGAAGCCACAGTGGCTGCTATGGCTCACTTAGCCCTTCTTCAGTGAAGCATACTAATATTTTGTAGTATTAAAACATCTTTGAGCCAAGCATGGTGGCGCATGCCTTTAATTCCAGCACTTGGGAGGCAGAAGCAGGCATATCTTTGTGAGTTCGAGGCCAGCCTGGTCTACATAGTGAGTTCCAGGACAGCTGGGGCTACAGGGAGACCCTGTCTCAAAAAGACAAAAATAAAAAATAAAAAAAAATCTTTGTACTCATGAAATAAAGTTAACAGTTATAATTGATAGTTTCTATTTTACAGATGAAAAATGACATTGGTCTGACCATTTTTCTGTAAAATTTAACAGGTTTGGGTACTGGAGAAATGGCTCAGCAGTAAGAGCACTGGCTGCTCTTCCCATAGGGCAGCTAACAACTGTCAGTAATTCCAGTTCCAAGGGACCCAATGCCCTCTTCTGACCAGAAGTGGTGCATGACCACTAGGAAAGAGTCTTCCAGGATTCTGAGAACTTGCTCGTATGAACTCACAGCAATGGTGACACCATGCACAAGACCCATGCAAACTCAATCAGACAAAAACCAGCACAGAACAGGGGAAATGGGATTGAGGCCCCAACCTTCGCTGAGGAACTACTGGCAGCTGATTATTGCAGGATGAGGAAGGACTGATCTTCTTTAAGGAAGTGTCTGTCATTAGATAAGCTGAACAAGCTCCAGTGGATGAACATATACCCAGGAGTATCTGGGGACATAAACTTGACTCGATAGGTGCTAACACAGATGACAGAATGCATGAAATTCTCTGGGTGGGCTATGGGTGGGTGCAGATAGGGGAGGAGGTTTAACTATGATTAAGATATATTGTATAAAATCCACAAAAATTCAATAAAAATGTACTTATTAAAAATAAAAATAAAATAGAAAAACATTTGGTTTGAAAGAAATTTTTGCACTGCTGTA